CTGTGATCCCAGCTACTTGGGAGGCTGAGGCAGGAGACTCTCTTAAGCCCAGGAGTTGGAGGTTGCTGTGAGCTGTGATGCCACAGCACTCTACCCAGCGGGACAGCTTGAGGCTCTGTCTCAAAAAAAAAAGAAAGTGACATTGCTGGGCGCGGTGATTCACACCTGTAACTGCAGCACTTTGGGAAGCCAAATAGGGTGGACTGTCTGAGCTCACAAGTTCTCCACCAGCCTAGGAATGAGACCCCATCTCTAAAAAAACAGCCAGGAATTGTGTTGGGCACCTATAGTCTCAGCTACTCAGGAGGCTGAGGCAAGAGAATGGTTGAGCCCAAGAGTTAGAGGTTGCTGTGAGCTAGGACACGAGGGCACTCTACTGGGGGCAACAAAGTGAGACTCTGTCTCAAAAAAAAAAAAAAGTGATATTGAAGGTAGGTGTGGTGGTTCATGCCTGTAATCCTAGTATTCTGGGAGGCTGAGGTAGAAGGATTGCTTGAGCTCTGAAATTGAGTCCAGCCTGAGGAAGAGTGAAACCCCATCTCTACTAAAAACTAGAAAATTAGCTGGGCATAGTGGTAGGTGCCTATAATTCCACCTACTCAGGAGGTTGAGGCAGAAGGATCACTTGCATCTAGGAGTTTGAGGTTGCTGTGAGCTAGGCTGACACTCTAGCCCAGGCAACAGAGTAAGACTATCTCAAAAAAAAAAAAAAAAGTGATATTGAAGAAAAGCCACCACATCCAGGCTTTCTCCTTGGTATTAACTTCAGTTTTTTTTAAAAGACAGGGTCACCTTGTCAAGAGACCCTGCCATCCATGCTGAAGTGCAGTGGTGGGAGCACAGCTCACTGCAGTCTTAAACTCCTAGGCTCAAGTGATCCTCCTCTTTCTGCCTCCAAAAGTGCTAGGAGTACAGGTATGAGCCAGTGCTCCCAGCCCCTCTCAGCATTTTAAGGAGCACAAAGCAAATTACAGGAAAGCATACATATGCAAAGGACTGATGGAGGGAAGAGGGCAGAATACAAATCAAACACCTGGATTTGTTACCAAGCACATAGCTCATCAAGGGCATGATGGTGATGTTATTTTCTGTATGATGTTGCATGGAGGTGCCATCAGGTGTATCAAGTGCTTCACTGAACAAGTCCAGCACTGAATAGCAAAGACATGACTGCATTCCACCCTTGTACCAAGTGGACACAACAGGTCACATCCCCATCTTTTCCCTGAGCCTGGATAGGGTGGCCTTATTCCCTCAGGGATATTTATAACCTGGGGAGGAGGGCGGCTGGAGATGACAAGTCCTCCACAAAAGGGAAACAGGTTGGTAGTTGCTGATACACAGTGATGGAACAGCACTCACAGGGGTATATGTGGGGAGAAAAAGGCCATTGGGAGCTTGCACTTGGGTTGGCCTCTCAGGCCATGGGGTACATGGCTAAAACCCTGTATGTGGACCCCACACCAGACAGGCCCTCTACCTCACTGAGCAAGATGAATGGGCTCCCAGCTCTATCATGGAGAACTTGGAGGCCCTGACAGTCCCAAGGGGGAGAGATTCTAGAGGCTGCTTTTACTGGAGAGCAGGCGACTCAATGCCCAGGACAGAACCCTGAGAGGACCTCCACAGGCACCTGTGTAGGAATACTCAGGACAGGCCCCACTTAGTAGCTCCCTGGAGGTGTGGAGAGGGTATGGCTGGCCAAGGAGGGGATGATTTATGGGTACTGCTGGTGGGAACATGCTCACCACTCCATGAGTGATGTAGCAGGACAGGGCAACACATCACAGGATCTGCCCTGGCTGGCCCACTGGGAAGAGAGTGCAGCTCTTGCTCACTTTGGTGTGATTTTCAATTTTTCTACAATCTTGTGCAACAGAAGACATGGTAATTTAAAAGCTTTGAGGCCAGGTGCAGTGGCTCACCCCTGTAATCTCAGCACTCTGGGAGACTAAGGAGGGAGGATTGCCTAAGCACAGGAGTTTGAGACCAGCCTGAGCAACAGCAAGACTCCATCTCTACTGAAAATAGAATAAATTAGCTGGACATTGTGGTGGGTGCCTGTAGTCCCAGCTACTCAGGAGGCAAAGGCAGGAGGATCACTCAAGCCCAAGAGTTTGAGGCTGCACTACACTCTAGCTCATGTGACAGAGTGAGATCCTGTCTCAAATAAATCAGTAAAAGTCTGGCTCAGCACCTGTGGTTCAAGCAACTAGAGCGCCAGCCACATACACTGGAGCTGGCAGGTTCAAATGTAGCCCAGGACTGCCAAACAACAATGATAACCGCAAGCAAAAATAGCCAGGCCCAGCTACTTGGGAGGCTGAAGCAAGAGAATCGCTTAAGCCCAAGAGTTGGAGGTGGCTGTGTGCTGGGACTCCATGGCACTCTATGCAGTGTGACAGCTTGAGACTCTTGTCTCAAAAAAAAAAAAAAGTTTTAAGAGAAGAGGGAGGGCAGTGCCCGTAGCTCAGCGGGCAGGGTGCTGGCCACTTACACCGAGGCTGGTGGGTTCAAACCTGGTCCAAGCCAGCTAAAACAATAACTACAACTGCAACAACAACAACAAAAATAGCTGAGTGTTGTGGTAGGCGCCTGTAGTCCCAGCTACTTGGGAGGCTGAGGCAAGAGAATCGCTTAAGCCCAAGAGTTTGAGGCTGCTATGAGCTGCGAGGCTATGGCACTCTACCCAGGGCGGTCTCCAAAAAAAAAAAAAAGAAGAGAGGGAAAGGGAGAAAATGCTTTCTGAACTGGGGGCTTCCCACTGCAGGGGAGAGCCTGGGGGCCTATGTCCCTGACACCTCTGGGTACATATGCAAACTGTCCTCTAGCCAGAATCCTGTAGAGGTAGGGAGAATACTCAAGAATGGCCTCCCACCTTCTGCCTTGCTCCTGGCCCCCCC